CGTATGTATATGGAATTGTAAGTTGTATATATTATGTATTGTTACCATTGTGTCTATGATTTGGGGTTTGTATTTCGTTTAATGTTTTGTCAATGTTTGGTGGATAGTCGTTTTTTGGTCGATAGTCGTGTTTATATCTCTGTTTAGTGAAATGTCGTCTGAACATATTATTTTTGCCCTATCATATAAACTTTTTATAACACTTTTTTTACACTTATAGTGTGATTAGATATAAAATTTAAGTATCTATCTGTGTTTGTGGGTTTTCTGTAAACATCTAAAATTAGTTTATGTTGAAACTTTGATACTAAAACATCCAGAAATGGCAAACGATTACCTCTCTCTACTTCTAAAGTAAATCTTATGGTAGGTTCGCGAGCATTTATATAGGTAATCCAAAAAAATTTCTATTTCAGAAACGTTACATTGTTGTTTATACCTAATCCTATTTAATTTTTTTGCAATTTTTTTTGGACCCTGGTGACCCTGGGTTTTGGCGTCCCTAAAAGATAGCGCCCGTGTGTATTGCACACTTTGCACATATGGTAGCGGGGACCCCTGACTCTGAGAGTTGGACACTCCATCAGACATTGAAAAACCGCATTAACCTTTTGAGATGTACTTGTATCGTCGTATGCTGCGTGTATCCTGGATGGACTGAGTAACAAATGAAGAGGTGCTCAGGCGGATGGGCAAATATACAGAGCTCCTATCAACAGTTAAGAAAAGGAAGTTACAATACGTCGGTCACATCATAAGGGGTGAAAGATACGAGGTACTCAGACTGGTCATTGAAGGAATCGGACCTACGTTGGTGAAGATAAAATTGAAGGCAGGAGATCAGTAGAAAGAAAGCAATACTCCTGGCTAAAGGATGTGCGTCGTTGGTTCGGAAGAACATCTATCGAAATTTTTAGGGGTGCAGTTTCACGCATCATCATAGCCAGTTGGATCGCCAATCATCAAAAGTGGTCCATATAATGGTCCAGTATGTGTCTAAGTGCAGTAAATCTTTTTTGTGTTGTAAGTCTTTTTGTATTGCCCACCCACCACTAAGCAGATCAGATCATAACTAAAAATGTAATTTTTAAGTAAGTCAAAAGTAAAAATAAAGCTAGACTTTACTTAAAAAAAGTCTCGCAAGAACTAAAATAAAATTGAGTTTTATGCAAACCGCAAATGCACTGGTTGTCTCGTTAATGTTGGATTTGTATTTTCTTGCAATGACTATATGAACTGCACCTGTATCTTTTTATTGCTCTGAAGTGATGACTAAAAGCCTAAAAAAGTAGTTCGTTTTTAGCGTAACCTTGGCGGAATAAATTACGTTATTTTCTCTGGTTGTGATGTGATAATAACCAGCGTAAATGTTTATTTTAGCCTATAAAAATAGTTTGTGACATGGGTAGGAATTAACAGTTTGCTTACCTACCTCTACATAAACTTTGTAAAGGAAATTTTCTCGTTTTGTCGTGAAATTTAATGAGATGTTATTTGTTAACCATATTGTTTACTGTGGCAAGTTTAAGGTAATTTAACATTCAGTGTACCGTGTTCAAATTGCTTTTTTTATTTTTATGATAATTCTTTTAAGAAATAACATAATAACATAAAACCATTTAGGATTTTATATTGTAATTGAAAGGTTTTGCCAAGGTAACATATCAAAAAAAGGAGATTTGTCCCCAAATTATAAAACAGATTTGTATACAAAACACAAAAAGGTCATTAATATATCTTCGCATAAAAAAATACTATTAGCTACAATATTGTAATAATACTGTCTATATTACGAGTAGCAAAGAGCTGAAGTATAATTCAAAGTGATTAAAATTTTAACCTTAAATAGTTTCAGATGAATAGTGATGAGCAAATGCCAGATCAAGACTACCTTGGTCTTAGTATTAAGATGCCATCAAAAAATTTCAAAAATTTCAAGGATTGCTGAGTTATTTCAAATTGAACTGAGTTTTTGAAAATCAGTTTTATTTTTTCCTGTTGGTTCTTTTTAAGAAATCGAAAAACTAATTGCACATTGTCATAAATTTGTAGCACCCTGTATATTATATTGAATCAGCATTTCTTTTTTTAAAATTTTATGTAATAGCCGGAAAACACTACTTGTAATAAATTAAAACAATAATTTTGAAAAAAGAAGTAATATGATATAACCTGAAAAAAATGCAGGACCGCAAGACTCTTGCATGATTGGTCTTGATCTTGTCTTCTAGATCAAATGCTAGTCTTGATATTTGTCTGGGGCTTATCTTTTGTGCAAGATCAATACCTAGACTCATCTCCACTCCTCACTACAGATGAACGGCAATAGTTTCACTAGTAAATTAAAACTCAACTTGCTTCAACTTTAGTTGAAAACAAATCCCAAAATACACTTACATTCGTAAGAATATGCAAAAGAACTAACAGAGAAGAAAAAACAAAAAAATGCAATTATCTCAGATACTACTGAATATTTAAACTTTAATACTTACAAAATGTGAGTTTTTATATTCTACAAATAATTCAAATCATGATGGGGACTGACTTTCTTCTGTTTTACAAAACAATATATCATAGGAGGCTTGTCAGATGATTTAGATTGTGCTAAACCGTCGAAAAAATAGTCTTTCTCTAGAAGTTTTGTCACACTCGACTCCGTTTACACCGAGTAATATTATTTAGTTATATAGGTAATACATACCCTATCTTATTTATGACTCGCGAGCCATATTAAAGATTGGATACAAATCCTGCACAACGGTACTAGACAAAAATACTTGGGCAAGATTATGGTAATAAATGCGTTTTGCGTTTCCCAACAATGCCAAAGGACTGCTTGATACAAATTGGGCGCGTATACTAACATGTTTCTTACTAGTGAAAAACTGGTATAAGACAAAATTAGGATGTGGTCTATTTGGTAGCAAGAGAAACCTCTTCAGAACTCGCTCCAGAATTTTATTTAAATAGAGAGCCTCTAGAGACTGCGTCTGCCTATCACAGTGGACGAACACAACACTCGATTTCGAGACGAGACTGAGAATTTTTTTTCGAGACGAGATCGAGAAAATGACTTCGAGATTTTTCAAGATGGAGAAATTTTTTCGAGATTTCTCGATCTCGAAAAACTTTAGATGCTGCAATAACTCAACAGCTCATAAAAGGCTAAAAAAATGGAAATAAAAACTATTTTGGGAAATATTTTCTCGTACAATGCTAATCTACATTTCTTTATTTACAATTATTACAAATAATCAAAAGATAACTTCCCCAAAACTGTTCGATCAGTCGGTCTTTTCAGAATAAAGAAATGCCGTAAAAATAATATATTGTTGTTCTTATGGTACCATTTTTTTTTCAGATTTTGGGCCAGTCTGCGTTTTTTTTTTTGTTACACATGGCTTTTAGTTCATACCATAACTATAATAGCTCTGTATGCTATAACGTGCTTTCTTAACAGAAATAATTTACCCTATATTCTGGTGCAGATTTTATAACATATTATTTTTGGCCGACGATTAATAAATATGTGCCAACAATACGACCTAAAAATAATGAATGGTTTTTTTGCCCATAAGGAGATCCAGAAATAGTCCTGGTATCAACACACGAGAGGACTAAAATCAATAATAGATTATTTAATAATAAAACAACAGACTACCTTGAGAATACAGGATGTTAAAGTGAGCAGAGGAGCAGACTGTGGATCTGACCATTGTTTAGTTATGGCCAAATTCTACATCCCATTTGCGGGAACGAACAAGGGACAAATGCAAAATAATAGATCTAGAATCGATGACACCAAATACAATCTAGACAGCTTAGAACATGAGAGTACCCGTATATTGTACTCCTGGAGATTGGAACAGAAATTAACTGAAACAAAAAGGACAACAGAGGAAGAATATGAACATATAAAACGGTGCATTAGAGAAGCTGCAGAAGAAGCACTCGGACTAGAAGATCGGAAGATACAAAAGGCATATTGGTGGGACAGAGAAATTGAAGAAAAAATAAAACAAAAGAAGGAAACGTATCAAAAATTACTGCAACAGAAAGACGAAGATACCAAAACAGAATATAAAAGAATAAAGCCTGGGAAAACAAATGTGAATATATTGACAGACAAATAGGAGGCGCAAGATGCTCCGAAGCCTGGAAAACAATAAAATCAATTAGAACAACAAATAAATCAAACATCGTGCTAAATAATATATCAGATCACCAATGGCTACAATATTTCCAAGAACTTTTGACGGAAACCAGAACAAATTTTCTAGAAGAAGAAAAATGCACTGTTTTTAGAGGGAATCCAGCTATCTATCGAACAAGTAATAGAAGCAGTCAAAGGAACCAAACTCAAAAAATCTCCTGGACCAGATGGAATACATGCAGAGCTGATCAAATATGGCCCACCAAAACTCTTCGAAATGCTTAGAGAACTATTTGAGAGATGTCTAAATGGGGAAACGATACCTACAGAATGGAGACAAGCGTATATATCGCCTATCCACAAAAAAGGTGAAAAAAACGACCCAAAAAATTACAGAGGAATCGCAGTAATACCAACCATAGGCAAAATCTACTCAAGGGTACTTAAAAACAAAATCGAAGAGGAGATAATCGAGAAACAGCCAGAAGAACAGGCGGGTTTTCGAGCTGGACGATCGACTGTGGACAATGCTTTTACTCTCAAAATCACTCTGAGAAAAGAATACAGCGTAGCAGAGAGACCCATGTCGCTTTCATAGATTTGGAGAAAGCTTACAATAGTATACCTATCTCAAGGTTGTGGAGAAAATTTAGAGACCAATCCCGTGTTGATTCGGGCTACACAGACCTATTATAAAAATAACTCTGCAAGAATTAAGATAGGAAATGAGGTTACCAACTCTTTTAATACAACAAAAGGATTAAGACAAGGATGCTGCTTATCTCCTACACTGTTCAAAATCTACTTGCACAGAGCTCTGCTGAATTGGGTGAGAAAATGCAAAAATATGGGGCTAAGAGTGGGGGATGACACATTATTTACATTGTTCTTCGCAGATGATCAGATAGTTATTTCTGAAGACGAAGAAGATCTCAGTTATATGATCAGAAAACTACAAGAAGAATACGAAGCCGCAGGTCTTCAGATGAATCTCTCGAAATGTGAATACCTTATAGTAGGCAATGAAGAGATAAATGACCTAATCTTAGACACTGGCACGATAAAAGGAGTTAAATCGAATAAATACCTTGGAATAATATTTAATAAAAAACGAAACAGCGAAAATGAAATACAAGAAAGAGTAAATAAGGGTAGAACAGTAACCAGAACATTGAACTCCCTTCTCTGGAATAAACAAATTAAAAGATCCACAAAAAAGCGCATTTATAGTAGCCTAGTCCAAAGTGTAACCCTACGGTTCGGAAATATGGGATGTTACAAAAGCCAATAAAAATAAACGTATGGCAACTGAAATGGATTTTTTAAGAAGCTGCGGACGATCAAAACTAGAAAGAATAAGGAATGACGACATACGAATGCAGATGCAAATGGATAGACACATACACGAAGACATAGAAAAAAGACAACTAACATGGTTTGGACATGTGAAGAGAATGAACGTTGACAGATGGCCCAGAAAGATATTAGAATGGACGCCTTTAGAAAGAAGAAAGAGGGGACGGCCCAGAAGGAGTTGGCGGGATGACATCAATCAGGCGATGGCCGCGAGAAACTTAGATGAAGACGAGGTTTTTGATAAAAGGATGGAAATTGGACGGAGAGACGGCAATAGCTGTAGAAATCCGTTATATACGAGTACATAATATAATTTTAGCCGACCATATCAATAGGTTTGGTAGGCTATTAAGATCGGCAAATTTTTTTTTAATTTCACTCAAAATGAGTTATTTAGGTCATAAATTACCTAAATACAAAATATTTTCATGGTGTCTGTCTGTCTGTCTGTATGTCTGTCTGTCTGTAAAACGATAACTCAAAAACCGCTAAACCAATTTTAACCAAATTTGGCTCAAAAATACTGTGGCATCCGAGAATCTGGCCATTAGTTTTTGGTGGGGGTGGGGGTTGGTAAGGGGGTATGGGAGGGGATTAAAAATTTAAAAAAATCGTAACTCCAAAATTACAGTAGCTAGCGAAACACGGTTTTCAACTTAAGATTAGGAATAATATTTGCAACAAAATTTGTAATATCATCAAGATCAGTCAAAGTCGCAGTTTTTGAGATAAAAAAAAATGGAAAAATTCCTTACTTTGAAACTAAAAGAACTGCCTACCAACTTTTATTAACATATTTTAGTATGGGCGGCTATACGTGCCTCGCGGCGCCAATTTTTTAATAATAAATCAGTTATTTATTTTCGAGACTCTCGAAATTTCGAGAATTCCAAATCGAGATCGAGAAATTGACTTCGAGAAAAACATCGAGACGAGAGTTTGTTAATATCTCGATGATCGAGACGAGAAATTGCCTTCGAGACGAGATTTCTCGTCTCGATGAAACCCTACATGTGAATCATGAGTGCACTCTGATTGTGCCGGATATAACACCGGAACGTATAAAAAAGATCGCGCACACTATACCTACACGGACCAGCACGGACCAGACCAGTAAAATCTACCGGTGAAGGTGACCGTGTTATTTAATAGAGTAGAGCACACTAGACCAGTACCAGCACGTACCGCCACAAGCCACGACCGTCAAAACACGTCGTGTCGGTCAGGGACAAATATGACCGGCAATATTTATGCCTGGTCGTGCTGGTCCGACCTAATGTGCGCACCGGCGAACCAGCACACCTCCACAAACATGCAAATATTGAAGGGTTCGTCAGTATTTCGAGTACGCTAGCTGGCTCAAGTCGCATGATGTAGGTTAGATTTCGTTTATTTTTGTTCGAACATTTAAATCGTTTTAAATATGAATGAAGAAAAGCTTATTTTACTGGTACAAAAGTATCCAGAGCTGTGCGATACGAGCCAAGCATTTTATATATACACACCAAGAAAGAAAAGATGCAATATGGGAGTCGATAGCAAAAAAAAATTCACAGTCCTTTACAAAGATGCAACCGGGGGGCATTGAAAATGATGAATAAAAACGTAAAAATATGATTAGTGTTAATATGAGTGTATTACATACATATGTTTAAATAACGAACTTAACAAAAAACAACAGATTTAAAGATTCACTGAAAAAGTAGTAATGTTAAAATTAAATAAAACATTATCAATAATAATTATGCGATCGCACATATCCGTAAAACAAGCAAGCAAAAAAAGAATTCTTACGGAAAGTTACACTTTACGATATAATTTTTTAACTGTTAAAGACAAACCCCATTTAAACACAAAACTTTTTAATACCTACTACTGTATCTAAAAGATTTTTTTTAAATTGCTAAATTCTTAGCCACGCTTCTGTTTTTCTTGGCTGTTGTGCGTCACGTCACAGATTAACAGGCCCACGTTTGCACCACAAGGCGATGCTGCAGACCACTAGGTAGACCGGTCGTAGAAATTTATGTTATACAACTTGTAGCCAATCTACACAAATGTTATCAAAAACTTTTTTTCTTTTAAAATGTGTTCAGATTTTGTAAAAAGTATAAGTCAAAATCGCAAAACTTAAATTACTAGCTTTTTCTCGCGACTACGTTCGCGTTACACCTCGTGTAATGCGTTCATGCATTGATTTAAATGATTTTTTACTTATATATTATTTTTTTATTTATAGAGAGCTAGTGAGCATAGATGTTTTTTATTTTTCATCTTTTTTTTTTATTTATTAAGAGCACTAATACTGTCTTTATAGGTTATTTTTTATTCTTTGAAGGATAATTGAGGAAGATATATTTCGTTATGATGTCACTAAATAAACCCTTGTATAAAATTTTATACTGTCTGGTTTATAATGTTATAATATTGCATTTTCGTACAGCAAACTTTCATTCCCTATTCTACTCTCTAAGGGTATAAATTTCATAAATTCGCTTTACCTTTGTGCCCATTTTTATGTGTATAATCCAGAGGTCACCAAGTTTTATATAAATTTTTACTAACTTTACCCATTTGGTTGATGAATTTAAAAAAATTCTTCTAATTCTTTTTGTAGGATTTCATTCTTCTAGACCAAATAGTAAGGAATTTTCTTACAACAAACTGTTCCGAGATAATTTTACTCTCTAAGAGGATGAATTTCCTAAAATCGCTTTGTGTAGCTAATTCACTAATGTCGTTTAAACGAACCTTTGTGCTAATATTTATGTATGTAAAGCTGGCGGCATGAACTTACTCTAAAATATCTAAAAACGTAATATATAATCTAACTGACACACCACTGACAAAGACAAATAATTTATATCTGGAGGTATTGTGTGTAGGTGTTTTTCAGGCATGTTTTAGTATTTAGTCGTTTTACACAAAGAAATAGCCATTAAGCACTATAAAAATACTTCATAACAAATCTACACATATATACCTTTCATTTAAAGAAAGAATCATCAAGATTGGCAAAGCGGTTTCGGCGGGATGGATGCAACAAAAAAACCCTTTGAGCTTTTATATATGTATGGATTAATTATTTTTCCAACATATTTTACTTTGCAAATTTTTATAAATATTCAGACTCGCCAATATCGTACTCCACCGTGTCCAGCCTGTTTAGCCAAACGTAGGCCGAGTCCTCTTCGGCGGCGTCGTGACCCTGGCCGAAGGAAGAGTCTTGAAGACGCTCATCCGCGCATAGGAATAAGTTGACTGCGTAGCGTATTGCGTTTTAATGGATTCTGAAACTTTCTATCTCATGTATAACATGTTACGCAAGTTTATTATTTTAATCTCGATTTTAATAGATAAATTTGTGAAATGCCACCTGAATATCTTCCGCCATGACATGTTTTTACTTTTTTGTTATGGTAAAGTGATTTGTATAAACTTTATTCAATAACGTATATTTTCCTCCATTTGTGATTTTTTAATTTTAAGCGAAAATTAAGTATAACATTTTAGGAAAAAGAAACACTGTAATATTTAAAAGAAAAACTCTTTCTATAGAAAAAGTCTTTATACTAACCAGAATCCGGTGACATATACGCGGTCTCACCGGAAACATTACTTATTACTTCGCATAACTTGAAGAATATCTACTTTTAATAATAAACACTTCAGAAATACACCAGTAAAAACATTTATTATTTGAGATTAAAACTCGAATTAAATTATAAATATTAGTTACCTATGTTGTTATAGCTTTTATAGGCCTGTTTAACGACTTAATAAGTTACCTAGCGAAAAAATCTGTGCGCGTACCTACCACTATTGTTACAGGTTAATTCGTTAAAGAAATATGTTACACAAGTTAAAAAACGCTAAAATTTTAATGGTATTACTTGTGCATTATTGGCCTTATAATGTAATTTGTTGGAATTATATCTTCTTTAAATATAATTAGACTTTTTAACGACTTTTAAGTTACCTAGGAAAAAATCTGTGCACGTACTTACCAGTATTGTTACAGGTTAATGCGTGAAACAAATGTGTTACATATTATTCGTAGTATTAGTGGTATCCTTGTTTGTGGTATTATATTGGAATCAGCTTGGCATTAGTGGGGCATTATATGAGAAATTTTGGTATTTAATTTGTATTTTTGGCATTACTTTGGCATTAGTATACAGACATTTGTCAGCGGTTTACTCCTTGTAGATAATCAAAAAGTTTTTGATAAAATTTGCTTTTTATGTCAGATCATTTCTATGAAAAATTACATTAGATTTTTATTAAAGACGCTGGGTAATTAAAACATTGACTAATAAAGCTTGTCGACTTTAAATAAGGGGTCACGAAATATCCTCCTTGGAATGTTTGGGTTAAGGGGTGTATAATAAATTAATCGTTGTTTTATAATAAAAACCATAAAACATTTATAAGTAAAATGTTTTAAAGTAAAAAAAGTAAAATAATGCAATGGTTGGATATCTCTCCTTTATAATTAGGTGACTAAAAATACACTAAAATAATTAGAAGAAAAATTTTGTACTTATTTAGTAATTACGTAAATATTAATTAATTGAATTTCTAGTCTATTTTATTTTATGTACAAATATATTATTAAATTTTAAGCATTAAGTAATAAAACACTTTGTGCCCTCTTATATCGTAAGAGGTTACGAAATATACTCCTGGTTACACCCCTTACAGAAAACAGTGTAAGGGGTGTAAATAAATTGTATAATCACTGTTTTTTATAATAAAAACTATAAAACATTTCTTATTTGTGAGATTAAAAAAACAAAACAATGCATTGGTTAAAATAAGTACATTCATTACATATGTATGTTATAACATAATATAGCCATTACTATTATACTATTATTATCAAAATAATATGTGTGTAACATATTGCTTTAACGAATTAATCTGTAACAGACATTTATATGCCCAGTATATTTTTGTTTAACAAACCAATCAGGAAAAATCCAAAACCTACCGTTATAGGAGGTATAAGATGATTAAACTTATATAATGACAACTACTTATCGGATAACAAATTAATTACTACTGTCAGCTAGTTCAGCTACTGTCTAGGTAGAATATACCTAGAGTACCTACACCTACCTATGATGTAGGTAGATTAAAGCTTATTTTGACGTTACCTCTCACTTCGGTGTCACAAGCTGAATTTTTCAGGGATGGAAGTACAGTACATGATGTGGGGACCCTTATTCCGAAAGTACAAAATTAGACCGGGTAAAAGGGCACTATCATCAAAAATC